ACATACATACATACATTCTACCACAGATGCTTGTTAAACACATACAGACACAGACATACATTCTATCAATGGTACAGGGCAAAATACAAATCCTTGTTACACAGGATATCACAAAAGGCAGCCCATTCTTATAGCTAGTTTTAATATCTGTTCTTTTCATTTCAATTAGGCATACATTCAAATACTTTTCTTAATACATGCATTGTCATTTGTTTTATATCCATTGTTTCATGTTATTTATTTTACTCGGACTCAAATGGTCTGTCAAATGTTTTCAGAACAAATATTCCAGGCGCCCATAAAAAAATTAATAAATAAAATTAATTATAACAACTATAATTATCGTTAATTCACGGGATTTAAACCAACGAAAAACATCCTGAGGTTGTGGTCTTTATGTACAAACATTGTGAAATTCTCAAAACTAATTTTTAAACAGGGAGACATGGAAAACTCATATAAAATATCGATTCAACAAAAATTTTCTTTCCATTCTCATTGAAACATTTATCTTTTTATTTCCAATAAAAATTCAAAGATGAAAAAAAACATTTTTTTTCTTTTTTAATCATTATCTGATTTTAACCCTTTATTGTTAAACATTTGCTCATTCTTTATTGTATCCTTTGAGTGATTCTGATCCATATTTACATGGATCACATCCCAAACCACCATATTACTTGGTTATTACTGTTTCGTTTCTCCAACATCAACCAGATAATAAACAATACTCATTTTGTTGTTTCTACATCTTTCTGTTTCTCATTTTTACGATTACTTTTGCATATATAAATGTAAGGGGGTTTATAATTATTTATTCAAAGTTATAACTCCAGAAATTGGAGGAGAGAGTTATCAATCATAATGTTCTGATTTCAAATTCGCAGTTATCTTCCTGTAACAATCTCTTTGTTTTTTTTTTTATTTTTAAATCAACTTTTTATCATATCAAATTTGGTGAGCCACGAACAAATTTTCATTTCGAAAATGTGGCCCAGAGAAAAAAAGTTTGGGAATGACTAGTTTATGGTAAAGAAAAAAAAAATCTCTGCTAAACATCATAAAAAGAAACATTTTTCATATCAGAAATTTCACCACTCATTCTTCTTATGAACAACTAAAAAGTTTCAAGTGTTTTTATCGACACACATCACTTGGTAATAAAAAAAATGCAAGGAAGTGTCTACTCAGTTACTTTATACTTGAATTACTGTCAGACATACAAAATATGGAAGCTGCTTACTTAAAGGATATTAACAAGTAAGCAGCTGTTGTGCAAGGTAAGCCAAGTTAAGGCTGGGAATTCCCAGTGTACATGTGAAATGTCCACTCATCTATTATCATGCAGCCGACCTACCCATAAAACATCTTCAGTACACATATACCCAGACATGTCGCAACGGTATTAAGCATGGGTCATTGTAACTCAGAAACAATCATTTTGCACTTATACTCAGGCAAAAGGCATGAGCTCACCTCTTAAAACCAGCCACAGGAGATTAATTATTGCTGCTGGTACAACCGGTTGAATTTTACTTAAAAGAAGAGATGGGTGCCAGCAAGTGATCCATTGTCTTTAGAAATATCATCAAGAATTCTGCAAGACAGACGTGATATTTTGAAAATGTAACTAAGTTGTGGAAAGGCAGTAATATCTGGGTATTGTTTTAGGCAGCATTTATTCATCCAAATAAGTTTGATTAAAAAGAACCAACAAGGTCGGCCTGTTTAATTTTCATTGTATTTTTCCAATTTTCAGATAAAACATTGAGTAAAGTTGTAGATGAACTGTCTCAAATTTGTAAAGTTCATATTTTGTAATTTTTGTTCAAGTATTTTTGACTTTTAGTCATTATCAAGAACTGATGTGATGTCTGTGTGACAGAATTCTTTTGTCTGCATCCTGGTATTCTTTGGGAAGCTGGACATTTGAAATGGTCTACTTTGACATCATGTGTTTTGTTATCATGTGTAATGCCTACAGGGAATGAGGTTACACAAAAAGAATGATATTTATTTATTTATTTTTTTTTATATAATATTAATAAAAATATGTGCACACATTAATTATATCATATGCACTTCAGGATAGCATCTCCTGGTGAATGATATTTTATGAAATGTGGGCTGTTGATTTTGTATAGTAATAGTTTCTAGAGTTTTGAGTCTTTCCTTGCATTGGGTACTATAGAGTATTTCGGTGTTATCTACTAATATTTGTCTTATGTTGATAGTTGTATTTTGGTTGTTCATGATGTGCTGGTCAATGTGCGCATGGATTGCACTGAGTTTCGACAGGTGACAGGCAAATCTGTGTGCATATGCTCAATATAAGTATTTAATGCTGTTTTTTTATTATTAGTGTTGGCGATTCCAGAGGGAATGAGAATTCATAGATAACATTATTTTTGTATGGGGGGGATTTATAAGCTCCCGTGTTGTTGGTAATAATTAACCTTTACCTGACTAATTTCTTTCTAGAATTGTTCCCCCTGCCACTGCATTTTTTTGAGGGTGCAAAAACCTGAACATGTACTGTTTTAAAATTGTTATAACTTTCTTTGTATTGGGCAAATAGATTTTATTTTTTGTACACTAATAAAAGAATGAATGAGTAATATTTTGATGTAATGCATTACGTTTTGCATGCATGTTTTGACATTGAAAACAAAAAAATTGAAACAATTGTGAAAAATTAACGTGGATTTAATTGATGTTACACCTCATTTAGAATCTAGAAGAATTCAAAATGGCATTGGAAAACAGGAGTTTAGCCTTGTTCTAAAGCAGTAGTAGGTGATTTCCAGCTTAAAATACTAGAAATAACAGTTGACAAGTGTTTATAGCAACCATTTCAAGGTGACAGAATACACCTAGAGTAGCAAAAGGAGAGAACTTTACGTCAACTATTGTTGCCTGCAGTGTGGTAAAAGTTAAGTTAGATGTTTTAAACTTTTAGTAGATGATGATAAATGTGTTTGTTAGGATCATTGAATGATATTGCACCAGTGAATTATGAATTATGTTTTTATTTGATTTTTCATCCTGTTTATAATCAGGGTGCATTTGGTTATTGTTGTAGCATAACTATGGATGATAATGGGTATCCCCCCCCCATTCCCATAAATACAGTAGTGAATACTGAACGTGGGATAGAGTTGAAGATTCATTGCGGACTCACTTCTACCAGTTGACCACTTCGACGCGCTGCTGGCGAATCTTATATGTGTTGTTCTAGTCCTAAGTATTATCGTTCATTACCAATCTTTGTTTGATTATTCTATTCAGTAACCTTCCTTAGGTTACAATAGTTATGATAGAATAAGTTAATATTGTGTTTATTTCTGTTTGCATCAGGGAGGGGTCTGGCATCATTTTTTCTAAATTTTGTTATGGCTAAAATGTGGTTAGGGAAATTATTGTGGATTAGGGTCTGTTTAATATTCCTAAGTTCCTTATACAATAATATGTCCAAAAAAGAAAAAAAAAAGATTACTTTGGCTTGGTAAATCATGTTTGTTATAACAGCTATTTTGTATCTGTGAGAACATTCACTTTTGTAGCTGAGTAAACATGAGTTTCAACTAGTGTTTTTTTGGTAAAGGGAGGTGGTAAAATTAAGCCTACTGACATCGACTAATACATCAAGGAAAGGGATTTTATTGTTAATGTGGAGTTCGTAAGTGTAGGACAAAGTTATTCTCAAATGTTTCTTTCACACAATTTACACAGCTTTGAAGTCTACCTTCTTTGCTTCGACAAACATTTTTGCAGCAGCATCTTTGTGTATTAATTTCTTGAAATTCATTTCTGATGTAATTTTTGAGATCACTAAGACTTTGGCCAATCTATTTCTCTATTTGTGACGTACAGTGGCCATTAATAATTATGTATAACTCAAGACTTCAATGTTAAGATAAAACAGTATTTAATTACAACTGCAAATAAATACTTAAGAAGAAAAAAGTAAAAGTCAACCAAAGATAATAAACCATTTCAGTGAATACCTTGTTAGTAGCATGGCTCAGCTTAATGTCTGGTAAATCCTAAATCAAAACCCAAATCATCAATGCACAATAATTCACACTCAATTGAGTGGATAGTGCCACTCAATAGTCACTCAATAATCACTCCAGTCAGTAGCCTGACACTGCTATTGATACACCTGACTAAAAAAATATATTCATATGTCCAGAGTGTCACGCTCGACTCTCAGTGCCAGTAGTTACTCATTTTCTTCCTACATGACAAAGATACTCATGGACTGCTCTTATATTTATAATATAACTATAATATATATGATAAAAATATAATTTTAAGGTATGTTATATTTATGGGTTAAAGTGCTCAATATCGGGTATAGAGCATGTATAACTATGGAAGTGGATATTGAAGTTAACATCTAGAGGAGACAGTCTGTTTCATGCTAAACACAATCATCAAGCCATGTGTGTTGTGTTTTTGTTCAACTATTAATATAAACAAGTCAGTGATGCATTGTGGGTAGTCTATGGTATTATTCTAACAGTTGTGGGCAGTAACGGTTGTGTTTGGAATTATTCTTGTGGCTATTGAGTGGGTATAATTGTGGATCCAAATGCAGTTTTTAGCTATTTAGAGTATTGTTAGTTTACTTTTTTATTTATTATTATTTTATTATGAGTTGTTATTACTATGTTTTCTTGTGTTTATTTGTGTGCATGTGGTTTGTTAATTTGTTCATTATTTACTTAGTTTATTTACTTATTTATTTTTTATTATTTTATTTATTTTTGTTTTTATTTTATTTTATTTATTTATCTTCTTGTTTATTTTCAGTTTTCAATTTTTAAGTAACATAGTAAAACAGTTTTTTCATGTCTGCATTTTGAGATGAGTTTTGATTGTTTATTTAGTAAACTACCAAAAAACCAGAATTACTATATATTATTTTTGTGCCACTAAAAGGGTTAAAAAATTGTTAATGTTTATTGAAGATAAAATAGGAAGTGCTTACCTACCTGCATTGTTGTCAAGGAGTGAAGTGCAACCAGTGTAATCAACTTAGAAAAAAATGAAAAATTTAATTGTGAGGATTAAAATTGTGAGAAGTGAATTTAAAAAAAAAGAAAATATTAATTAAACAGACAAAATAATCAAATGTACCGATGAACTCTTAAATAAATTTAGGTTCCTTTTGGCAATTTCTTGGTTGAGAAGCTATTATTGTTTTCATTATTTATACTTGGTCTAATGTCTCCATATTTGTTGCTCTGTCCATGTCTGTGGATATCTCATCTGGTCCTTTTTTATTACGCATATTAGCCTTTTCCCTCTAAAGAAACATTTGACATTCCTTGATTGAGCAAGCAATATTTCTTTTGCTTGAAATTTATAAAATATTTCTCTTAAAACAAATTTTCGGGAAAATATGTTTCTCAAATCCAGTAGGTGTTATTGTGCTTTTCAGTACTGATGGGGGTTTCCTTCCTGTCTTTTTTTTAAGCATTTCACCCCAAGCAAAGTGAGAGTTCCACTAATACGCAAGGGGCTACAGAGACTGAAAGTAAGAGAAAAGACTGGGTGTAGGGGGGGAGGATTGAGGAAAGGATAAAAAGAAAATGTGGATCAAGGCATCAGAAGATGCCAATTGACATTACATTTAAATTTTGAAGATTATAATTATCAGGAAGTAAGTACGTGGAAGGGAGTTCTACTGTCGGGAAGTGTAAGAGAAAGAAGCTGTTGGAATAGAAGAGGCGGTTACATTTAACTGTTTCAACAGCAAACAGGTGGGACCAAGATGCCAGTCTAGTAGCACGCTTAAATTCATGCAATCAGGGCACCAGTGAAATTAGCTTGTCAGAAGAAATGCCATGAAAATATTTATAGAAAAGACACAGAGAAACCACATTACGTTGGTGAGAAAGTGACTGGAGTTGAGACCACAAGTCAGGACTGATCACATTGCATATCCGTCTTTGGATTTTGTCGAAAACCTCGAGATGAACGGGGGGGGGGCACCAGACCATATATGGCAACAGTATTCAATGCAAGGATGAATGGTAGATTTGTAGATGTGAAGGATGGACTCAGACGAGAAAAACCTTCTGGCGCGACACAGAGAACCAAAGTTTTGCAGAGTGACAATGAATTTCCATTATTTTCTCTTTAAGTTACATGTGCTAGCCATTGTTTGGTTTCCATTTTGATCTTGAGCTTTTGAAATTGCAGTTTTATTTATGGTTGTTCTCTATATTTATAAAGTTGTTTGTCTGTCTGTTTGTGCGGAAATTACTTCTGCTTAGAATTGTGATACCCACTGGTGGTTGGTGGCTGTGCCAACACACACTGGTTGTGATGCCAATATATGACACTGCGCTGTTGGCCCGTGGTCAACTCCTAGTTGCGGCGTGAAGCTTTATGGTGTTTCCACCAGTGTTTTGGGGTTGACTCTTTGTCACTGCCACCAGCCTGTGTCCCGGTTGATCTGGTCGTTCCCGGTTCGATACCAGCTTTGCCGTTTCCAGCTCACTTCCAACGTCTGGTTACCAAAGTAACTACTTTGATCTCAAGTCTAACCTACCCACATTGTGATTTAGATCTTAGGTAGACGAAATCAATCAGGTGTTGGGCCGTAGTGCAAGCTGAATCTGGGATAAAGGTGATATCGCACAAGCGTAAGTAAAAGAAGCAATAAAACAAACTCAAGAGGTTCAAATATGTTGAGAAATAACAAATTATCTTTATCCATCTGTTATATACAGGAGTGTGTTTCTCTCCCAGCCCGTTTCTATGGATTTGTGACACTTTTGCATTTCTTAAGTGAGTTTTGGTATCTTAAGTCGTTCGTCAATATAACTTGCTTTTGGTAGGAAGTCAAAGTCAAAAGGGCATGGAATTTCTCGGTCAGCTTCTATGAGGCAATGGTCTCCAACTGCAACTGACTTCAACTGCGAAACTCCTTAAACTGTAAACTCCAAACTGACTGGCTGCCTCAAAACGTTCACTTATACAGATACCAACCAAAATCGGTGTGGGGGCCTGACATGGCTTGGGTTCCCAATAATTCTCGATTCCCAACAAGAATTCTCTTTGTTCTTAGGTCAGGAAAATTAATTACTTCCCATTTTTTAAGATTAATCACTTTCCATTTTGGGGGTTTCTCCCTCGTCCCTGAGGGAAGGTTGGAGGAGAGTTATCCTCCTTGACTCTTCCTCTCTCACATTGGTATCTCATACCAATCCCCTCAGTGGGTGTTAACAACTTCTCCATCTTTCTCATACATTCACCTCTGCCTATCACCCATGCTACCACTTGACCAATGATCTCTCGGCAGTGTGGGTGTAGGTAGACTGGCCCTCTTAAAATTATTAACCAGAATTTTGTTTACAAAATCATTTTTTTATCTTTTTTTTTTTCCTTCAGCCAAAACATTTACAAACCCCAGTTTGCCAAATAATTCTTATCACATCTTTCTTTCAGGGACACCCAAAATTCACTTAGTTGGGTCTCTCTACTGACTCATCAATCACTGTCAAAACCCGACACCTGGTTTTTTTTCTGCTAAGTCAACTTTTAGCTGGGAGGTCCGTATTTTACCTGAGAATCAAATTCTTTATTTTTCTCATGCCTTAAAATCCTCTTATCAGCAAATGCCCGTTTTTGACAACGCTGTGCCTGACATCAACAGTTTGAAAAAGCAATAATAATACAATTTTCTTCCTTATGCCAGAATTCTATCACACACCAGATGGTTTCCTTCATTGGACCCAGGAATTAAAATTAAATGATATCTCTGAAAGATAACTAATATCACTTCTCTCTGCCTGTACCGCAGTGGTCCCAAACTGAAATTTTTTTTTATGGCCACATGCATCGGTTGGCTTTGTTTTTCTTTCTGAATTCTGTTTCCCTTTGGGTGTCACTCTCTTATCATGACATTAATCAGTTTTGACAGAATCTCATATCTCGCCTTTTCTTACAGATTTTCTGTCTCATGCAAAAAGTATCTTTCTTTGTAAATAAAATAAAATCTTTTTTTTTTAACGTCGATCAGTCTATCTTTCGATATAGCTCTTTCTTGCCTTAAGTCTTTCCTGTTTTTTTATTTCTATGGTTAATTAGTTAGCCAATTACCATAGCTAATTAGTGTCACAGAATGATTCTTATCTACTGGCCCACTTAGTTGTTTCTGCTTAATGGTAATAGTAAATTCTGTCTGAATTTCTGGGGTAAGGAATTATCATTATTTACAGTATCTACACTTGGACTATTATCCTTATCTTTGTTGCTCTGTCTGTGTCTATGGATATCTCATCTTGTCCTTTTTTATTACTGTTTCATTATCTTCTGTCTGAATTTCTGGGATGAGGAGCTATCATTATTTACACTCAGACTATTGTCCTCATCTTTGCTGCTCTGTCTGTGTCTATGGATATTCCATATTGTTCACTTTTTATTACTACTCCGTTATTTTCTGTCTGAATTTCTGGGTTAAGGAATTATCATTATTTACAGTATTCACACTTTGACTAATGATTTTTGTTATTGAGCACAACTTTTTGGCCATTGTGCTCTCCAGCCTTCATCAGGTGCTTGTTCACCTGGGTAACCTTTAGAGAATTTCGAACTGAATCCTTGGGAGTAGACAAAATATCTTTGGACCTCATCAGCAGAACACTCTCCTCCCATAGACTGAATAAAGGGTTTAGTTTAAAATTCCCTGAATGTTACTCAGATGAAGTGCAAAAGCTGCAATGGCTGAAACATGATAACAACAACAAAGAGAATACTTGACGTGAAAATAATTATATAAATTTGGGATCATTATTTACATGTAGACTATTGTCCTCATCTTTGTTCTTGTTATCAGAACATTTTGGCCACTGTGCCCACCGACCTTCACTAAGTGTTTGTTGAATTTAGGCTCTTTTGATTATATTCAACACTAGAATAATATTTTTAAATAAAAGGCTCAAGGGAAGTAAATCTGTATGTCAGTAAAATTCTGGTAGTTTCAGAATAATTTTCATTGTCCTTAAAGGAATAACTGAGTAAAAATGATCTGAACTTTATTATGAGAAAATGCAACAAAAATTAAATGAAAAGAATAAACAGCGAGTTACTAACTTAGGATGCAGTGATATATGGCATGTGAATACATTTGTAAGTATTTAAAGACTTCTCTATGCCATGTCGCTTCAGGATATGGGAAATCACAGCTCCACACTTTCCTGTCAATTGTAGCTCAGGGAAAAATGTATATAAAATATAATTCTTTTTTCATTTTTAAATTCAAGTTTGTCAGCCACAAAACATTTTGAAACTAAAATGTTGGCATTCATGAAAAATTACTGTCAGAAACTTTATAGCTGTTTATTTCCAGTAAATGGCAATTTTCTATTTTTCCCCACAAAAATGTGTCGGGGGGAGGGATGGGTCATTCACTACACAGACTAAATAAGCAGTAGCTTAACTGGGGTGGGCAGGGACTTCATATACCCTGAGTGCCATATACCCTGAGTGTCAAGTCTGGGTTACGTAGGGACTTCAAGTAGAGTGTATGTCCTAGGTGCCAAATCTGAGTTGGGCAGGGACTTCAGGTAAAGTGTATGCCCTGGGTCCTGAATCTTGGTGGGGTAGGGAGTTAGGTTTGATGACCAACATAAGAATTTATTTTTAATTTTAAATAATACTTTTTCAAAAAGTGTCTGATGTTTTTTAATTTTCGTTCAACCCATCAACTTCTTCAAAAAATCTGCCCTCAGTGCCATCTCAAGTCAATAAGCTAATCTGATTAGCGTCTTAATTTATAAAGCTAAAAAAATAAGGTGTATTAGTAGATATATAGTATAAGCAGTGAAAGACAACAGTAATGACCAAGGAAGCACAAGGCAGAACCCATTGGGAGCACAAGGCAGAACCCATTGGCCGACCAAGGGAGAACCCATTGGCCGACCAAGGGAGCACAAGGGCAAACCCACTGGCCGACCAAGAGGGGCCAAGGGAGAACCCATTGGCCGACCAAGGGAGAACCCATTGGCCGACCAAGGGGGCAAAA